TTTGCCAGCTGATTTTGGGTTCAGTGTGCCAGTTTGAAAGTACCTAACCAAATCGTCTGTGGATTCCACCGGCTGAATTTGGGCTCTTGAGAGTTTTTTTTAATACAGTCTTACATGCTGAAACATTTAAAGTTCCTGTATTGCCGTTCTCAAGATAACTGACAGTCCAAACCATTGCAAACCCGTTTTTCCCCTTTTACCTAAGTGAACTGGGGAAATGTGTGGTTATATTTGAAACTGCAGGGTTTAAATATTGGAATGTTATAGGTGGGTGATGCATTAAAAAGGAAAGATAACATTAGTAATTTTTTAGTTGTCACCTTGGATGTAAATAACCCATTGCAATTGCTCCACTCTGAAACTTTAATTTGTACCGAGTCATTGGTCATGTAATACTACAATGCTTTTGTTGCACCAGGTACCAGTATGGCGTAGTGCTTACTGTGTTGGGCTAGGAATGGGGAGAGCCAGGTTTAAATTTCCACTCAGCCTTGAAGTTTACTGTTGTGACCCTTGGCTAGTTGTACTCTCTTAGGCTAACTTGACCATGAAGGGTGGTTGTGAGGATAAAATGAACAGAGTGAGAAAAAATATGCCACTTTGTGCTCAATGACTGAAGGACAGGATAAAAATGTTAATAAATAAGTACAGAATGGTATACATACCACTGTCATAAACATTCCAGTACACTTCAATAATTGATTTTCTGGCACAGCAACATGACATCTGAACGCATCCTTTGATTGTGTTCATGTTATCTTGCTGCATGCCTGAGGGTATGTCAGCAGACACCTTGAAGTATCCTGGCCAGATACAATCTTAGAAGTGGATTCAGATGACCAGAAGATCCACAGCAGTTGTTTAAAAAGTTATTATCAGGGCACCTGTAACCACAGGTGGAACTTGGAAGAGAAGATCCCAAATATTGTCTGTTCTGAACTGCTAGTCTATTATGGCACGCTTTCCAGGCTTCATTTTGGATAAGAATTCAAAACAGTGTTTCACAAGAGGATTGCAGAGGATTTTGCTGAAACGTTTTGTGGATTAAATATGACCATACTGTCTTCCGACAGAACCACAACATTTGATTGCTAGTGCTAATATAGTTGTATATTCATCGAAACATGTTGTGCCATGAGTGTGTTGCTAGATTTAACATTAAACTTTGAGCTGAGTTCAATCCAGTTGATTTGGGGTGGGTTTTTTTGCTTTGTTTCCTCTCTATCCCTACATTAACTTATCTCTTTGAAGCTTAAGAGTGGAATAATGTGTTTTGTTTTATGATGTGTTTTGTTTTCCATAGGTTCCTATATCATTTGTGGACCGAGTCTATGGGGAATCTAAATTAGGAGGCAATGAGATAGTCTCTTTTCTAAAAGGGCTGTTGACTTTATTTGCAACTACATAAGAGATTCTTCCCTACATTCAACGTAATTTGGACTGAAAAGTTATTTTTGCATCGTTCTCACCTTGCTAAGCTTTCTTTTGGTTAGAAAAACCATTCTGAGTTGAAGAAAAACAAGGACCACACAGTCCAGTAAGCATTATTTATTAACTGTGAAAAAATCATCACTGTGTACGTTTTGTCTTTCAATAAATGAGGCTCACTCCAATTATATGGTGTGCTAAATATTTTTTTCTGGAATATGTCCCTTTACTTCTGCATGGGGAAGGTTATTTGCATAAATAAGATTTTTGTCATGCATAGAAAGATGTATTGGGTTGTGTCCTGCCATTCTGTTCAGCAGATAGCAGTGCACTCCGCCAGCCAAATGGTTCTGCTGTTAGCTGATGGGAATGGCAGGTTACAACACAGTGTGTTCAAAATTTGGTTTCTTCTGGCAACCTCCTTTGATTCCTTTTATGTTTTCTGTCCTTGGCCATCACCCTAAGTGTAAAACCTGGCAGTACTGTGTCTTACAATACTCATGGTAAAACATCCAGGTTTATGGCCCTGTAATGGTGGAATGTTTGGCTTGGATCCAGCAGTGTGCAAGAGGAGACATAAATGAGCTTAACGCAGTTCTCCTTGGGCAAGATCTTGTGCAACACCTAGTGCTTTCCTTCCTATATATTATAGCGCTGAGAAACCTGTTGCACAGGATATTGTACAAGTGGACATTCAAGTGCGAATGCAATAAGTTTGGCTTCACATGAGAAGCTACCGTGATCTTTTTCTTGCCTTTCCCATTGTGTGCAAGCAAAAGGGGAAATTTTATGCTAGATCCCACACCTTGTATGACCTACCCTAACAATTTTTTGTGTGCAACAAACTTTCATGCCCTTTCTTTAACGCTGCTTTTGAAAGATAATTTGTGTGAATTAGAATAATATTCATCCCCAGCCTTTAGTGCAAGACACTAGAAGCATTTTGTTATGAACATGTGTACCAAGCAGTCCGATTTGTATGGCGGAGTGAGTGTCAGACTCTTGCACAAAGTTACTTTCAACAACACTCTCTGGCAGTGATTTGTTTATTGAGAAATAAAGATGTTCCAAGCTAAGACCAGTACTGTGTCAGAACTGAGGTTCTGGTGCCAAAACCCAGTTACAGATAGTTCAGATGAAGCCCCCCCTGGATCACACCTCATAGGTGTGGAGGCCATCCTGCCTAGCATTCGCGCGCTCCAAACCCCCACCTGTAAATACACCGTTATGTTATCTGTGACAGCAAAGCAAGCACAGTCAGCAGGGGTGGAAAATGGTCGGTAAAATCAGTAAAAGTCATTTTTTTCATCTTGGTCAGTAATTTGTCAGTTTTTTAAAAAAAATGGTCAGTAAAGTCAGTATTCCTTTGATTTTTGTGAATGCAGTTTGTGGGGTTTTTTTGTTTTCATTACTGCATTTTGGGGGAAACAATGACTTCCCAGTGAGAAGACAGATTGCTTTTAGTTCAGTTATGAAGTACTTTAAGGACTTTGTTCCTAAGAGTAAAAGTGATTTGGTGAAATCCTCCACAACGTATAGAAACATAATTAACCTCTTAAATGAAAGCACAATGAAAGCAGAGGTGATTTTTTTTTTTGCATGAGTGCCCGCTTATTTACAAAGTTTACTGGAGTGTTCCAGAAAGAAGAGCCTTTGGTGCATGTGATGCACAGTGAAGTAAAAACACAGGAATTTGTAAGAGTTTAGCACCATTGTCTCTTGAAGCCTTCAGTGATGAGCACTCCATACCTGTGAGAGAAGTAATCAGTGGAAGTAGAATCTGTGACGAACTGAAAAAATTTTCTGAAAAGGAACAGCTACTCTTTTTAATAGGAGCAGGAGCAAAAAAAAATTCATAGCAGCCTGCAAACACTTTTTACTCCAGTCATGTTTGGACAAGCCCATTCTCAGATATCTTCAATGCTTAGCTCCAGCACAGAGGGTCAAGGAAGGAACCCACAAGGATATAATGAAAGTAGCAGCAGCACTCCCGATGGATATTCCAGCGGACATGATTGCGGATGAATGGAAACTTCTTAAGACTTGAAGATGAAACAGCCAGTGAAACTTGCCGCATAGTTACATACTGGAATCAGTTCTTTGAAAAGACACACCCTTCTGGAGATCCAAAATACCCACTGGTTACCAAGGTGGTAAAAGTAGCATTTTCATTATTGTATGATAGTACGGACATAGAAAAGGGTTTTTCAAAAACTCGACGCGTTTTGACCGAAAGGGCCTGGATGTCAAAGAGAACTTTGAATGCCCACCTAAGTGCAACGGTTTAAAGGGGATTTACAACGGTTAGGGACGGGAGGCAGATGTTCGCCGTGTGAACGCCCATAAGTACACCGGTTGGAACCGGCACCCTAACTGTTGTAAATCCCCCATCTGAACGCACCCAGTCTGTCATTAAAGAAAAACAAAAAAGAAAAGAAAGGGGAAAGGCAGAGGAGTTAGAAAGGTTTAAGAAGATAGGCAATGAAAAAGATAGTATACAAGAGAAGGAAGCAAAACT